TAGCTGTCATGGTTGTGTCAGGTGGTGTAGCTGTCATGGTTGTCAGGTGGTGTAGCTGTCATGGTTGTGTCAGGTGGTGTGCTGTCATGGAGTGTTCAGGTGATTGTAGCTGTCATGGTTGTGTAGGTGGTTGTAGCTGTCTGGTTGTCAGGTGGTTGTGCTGTCATGGTGTGTACAGGTGGTGTAGCTGTTATGGTTGTGTTCAGGTGTGTAGCTGTTATGGTTGTGTCAGGTTGGTGTAGCTGTCATGGTTGTGTAGGTGGTGTAGTGTCATTGTTGGTCAGGTGGTGTAGTGTTATGGTTGTGTCAGGTGGTGTAGCGGGTCATAGTTGTGTCAGGTGGTGTAGCTGTCATAGTTGTGTCAGGTGGTTTGTTAGCTGTCATGGTTATTGTGTTTCTGGTGGTGTAGATGTTATGGTTGTGTCAGAGTGGAGTAGCTGTTATGGTTGTTGCTCAGTGGTGTGTAGCTGTTATTGGTTGTGTCAGGTGGTTTGGCTGTCATGGTTGTGTCAGGTGGTGTAGTGTCATGATTGTGTCAGTGGTGGTATCTGTCATGATTGTGTCAGGTGGTATGTAAGTGTCATGATTGTGTCAGCGGTGTGGCTGTCATGGTTGTGTCAGGGTTGTGTTAGCTGTCATGATTGTGTAGCTGGTGTGGTGTCATGATTGAGTCATGTGGTGTTAGCTGTCATGGTTGTGTCAGCTGGTGCGGCTGTTCATGGTTGTGTCAGGTGGTGTAGCTGTCATGGTTGTGTCAGGTGGTGTAGCTGTCATGGTTGTGGTCAGTGGTGTGGCTGTCATGGTTGTGTAGGTGGTGTAGCTGTATGGATTATGTCAGTGGTGTAGCTGTCATGGTTGTATGTGTCAGGTGGTGTTAGCTGTCTGGTTGTGTCCAGGTGGTTTGTAGTGTTCTGGTTGTGTCAGTTGGTGTAGCTGTCTGGTATTGTGTAGGTGGTGTAGCTGTTATGGTTGTGTCAGGTGGATTGTTAGCTGTCATGAATTGTGTCCGGTGGTGTAAGCTTGTTTCAATGATTGTGTAAGTTGAGTGTAGTGTTATGGTGTGGTGCCAGTGGATGTAGCTGTCATGGTGTGTCAGGTGGGTAGATGTTATGGTAGCTGTCAGGTGGTGTAGCTGTATTGATTGTGTCAGGTGGTGTAGCTGTCATGGTGTGTGTCAGGTGGTGTTTGCTAGCTGTTATGATTGTGTCAGGTGGTGTAGTGTCCATGGTTGTGTTCAGGTGGTGTAGGTTATGGTTGTGTCAGCGTGGTGTAGCTGTCATGGTTGTGTTCAGGTGGTGTAGCTGTTATGGTTGTGTCAGCTGGTGTAGCTGTTTGGTTGTGTCAGGGTGGTGTAGCTGTTATGGTATGTGTCAGGTGTGTGAATCTGTTTGGTTGTGTCAGGTGGTGTAGCTGTTATGGTTGGTGTGTCAGGTGGTGTAGCTGTTATGGTTGTGTTCAGGTGGTTTAGTGTCATGTTGTGTCATGTGGTGTAGCTGGCAAGGTGTGTCTGGGTGGTGTAGCTGTTATAGGTTGTGTCAGGTGGTTGTATGTCATGGGTTGTGTTTCAGGTTGGTGTAGCTGGCTGGTTGTGTTCGGTGGTGTAGCTGCATGTTGTTCAAGTGGTGTAGCTGTCATGGTTGTGTCAGGTGTAGGTGTAGCTGTCATGGTTGTGTCAGGTGGTGTAGCTGTTATGGTTGTGTCAGGTGGTGTAGCTGTCATGGTTGTGTCAGGTGGTGTAGCTGTCATGGTTGTGTCAGGTGGAGTGCTGTCTGGTTTGTGTCAGGTGGTGTGTGTCATTGGTTGTGTCAGGTGGTAGCTGTTATGGTTGTGTCCAGGTTGGTGTAGCTGTCATGGTTGTGTCAGGGTGGGTGTAGCTGTCATGGTATATTGTCAGCTGGTGAGGATGTCAGGTTTGAGTGTTGTGCACAACAAGAAAAGCTGGCATCAGCAGTGTGTTGATCAAGAAAAGCTGGCGTCAGCTAGTATGTTATCAAGAAGCTGGCGTCAGCAGTGTGTTAACCAAGAAAGCTGGCGTCAGCAGTATGTTAACCAAGAAAGCTGGCGTCAGCAGTGTGTTAACCAAGAAAGCTGGCGTCAGCAGTATGTTAACCAAGAAAGCTGGCGTCAGCAGTATGGTAACCAAGAAAGCTGGCGTCAGCAGTATGTTAACCAAGAAACTGGCATCAGCAGTGTGTTGACCAAGAAACTGGCGTCAGCAGTGTGTTGACCAAGAAAGCTGGCGTCAGCAGTGTGTTAACCAAGAAACTGGCGTCAGCAGTGTGTTGACCAAGAAAGCTGGCGTCAGCAGTGTGTTGACCAAGAAACTGGCGTCAGCAGTGTGTTTACCAAGAAACTGGCGTCAGCAGTATGTTAACCAAGAAACTGGCGTCAGCAGTGTGTTGACCAAGAAAGCTGGCGTCAGCAGTGTGTTAACCAAGAAACTGGCGTCAGCAGTGTGTTGACCAAGAAAGCTGGCGTCAGCAGTGTGTTGACCAAGAAAGCTGGCGTCAGCAGTATGTTAACCAAGAAACTGGCGTCAGCAGTGTGTTGACCAAGAAAGCTGGCGTCAGCAGTGTGTTGACCAAGAAACTGGCGTCAGCAGTGTGTTGACCAAGAAACTGGTGTCAGCAGTGTGTTGACCAAGAAAGCTGGCGTCAGCAGTGTGTTGACCAAGAAAGCTGGCGTTAGCAGTGTGTTGACCAAGAAACTGGCGTCAGCAGTGTGTTGACCAAGAAACTGGCGTCAGCAGTGTGTTGACCAAGAAAGCTGGCGTCAGCAGTGTGTTGACCAAGAAACTGGCGTCAGCAGTGTGTTGACCAAGAAACTGGTGTCAGCAGTGTGTTGACCAAGAAAGCTGGCGTCAGCAGTGTGTTGACCAAGAAAGCTGGTGTCAGCAGTGTGTTGACCAAGAAACTGGGTCAGCAGTGTGTTGACCAAGAAAGCTGGCGTCAGCAGTATGTTACCAAGAAACTGGTGTCAGCAGTGTGTTAACCAAGAAACTGGCGTCAGCAGTATGTTGACCAAGAAAGCTGGTGTCAGCAGTATGTTAACCAAGAAACTGGCGTCAGCAGTGTGTTGACCAAGAAAGCTGGCGTCAGCAGTATGTTACCAAGAAACTGGCGTCAGCAGTGTGTTGACTAAGAAAGCTGGCGTCAGCAGTGTGTTAACCAAGAAAGCTGGCGTCAGCAGTATGTTAACCAAGAAACTGGCGTCAGCAGTGTGTTGACTAAGAAAGCTGGCGTCAGCAGTGTGTTAACCAAGAAACTGGCGTCAGCAGTGTGTTGACCAAGAAACTGGCGTCAGCAGTGTGTTGACCAAGAAAGCTGGCATCAGCAGTGTGTTGACCAAGAAACTGGCATCAGCAGTGTGTTGACCAAGAAAGCTGGCGTCAGCAGTATGTTAACCAAGAAACTGGCGTCAGCAGTGTGTTGACTAAGAAAGCTGGCGTCAGCAGTGTGTTGACCAAGAAACTGGCGTCAGCAGTGTGTTGACCTAGAAAGCTGGCGTCAGCAGTATGTTAACCAAGAAACTGGCGTCAGCAGTGTGTTGACTAAGAAAGCTGGCGTCAGCAGTGTGTTAACCAAGAAACTGGCGTCAGCAGTGTGTTGACCAAGAAACTGGCGTCAGCAGTGTGTTGACCAAGAAAGCTGGCATCAGCAGTGTGTTGACCAAGAAACTGGCATCAGCAGTGTGTTGACCAAGAAACTGGCGTCAGCAGTGTGTTAACCAAGAAAGCTGGCGTCAGCAGTGTGTTGACCAAGAAAGCTGGTGTCAGCAGTATGTTAACCAAGAAAGCTGGCGTCAGCAATGTGTTGACCAAGAAAGCTGGCGTCAGCAGTATGTTAACCAAGAAACTGGCGTCAGCAGTGTGTTAACCAAGAAAGCTGGCGTCAGCAGTGTGTCGACCAAGAAAGCTGGTGTCAGCAGTATGTTAACCAAGAAAGCTGGCGTCAGCAGTGTGTTGACCAAGAAAGCTGGTGTCAGCAGTATGTTAACCAAGAAACTGGCGTCAGCAGTGTGTTGACCAAGAAAGCTGGTGTCAGCAGTATGTTAACCAAGAAAGCTGGCGTCAGCAGTGTGTTGACCAAGAAAGCTGGTGTCAGCAGTATGTTAACCAAGAAACTGGCGTCAGCAGTGTGTTGACCAAGAAAGCTAGTGTCAGCAGTATGTTAACCAAGAAACTGGCGTCAGCAGTATGTTAACCAAGAAACTGGCGTCAGCAGTGTGTTGACTAAGAAAGCTGGCATCAGCAGTGTGTTGACCAAGGAAGCTGGTGTCAGCAGTATGGATAGCGACAGCAGTATGGCTGGTATTTACTACCATGTCAGTCTACTATTCTCTGAGGTACACAACAGCCAGTAAGTCATAGTTGAACATTACTGTATACAATTTACAAACTACCAACAACAAGTCTCCCATTACAAACGTAAATCTGATGTTATTTACCGTGTAAATCAAATATATATTTACATCTAAATGCCACTGTAGTTAATACAAGATACTACTAGAATCTACAGTTTATTTTCACGAATAATTGATATTAAACCCCTAGACACAGGTGTAACAAGAATAATTTTGGTGTTCCTACGGGAGTTTATATTCACCTTCCTGGAGTTACTTGTCACTTGTTGAGAGGAGCTGATACAAGTCACCAGATTAATACGTCACATGTTTAAAACATCTGTTTTTAGAGTGGAACACTGACATGACTATGTTACCACTACCATCAACGCTAGTTGCTAGTGGTTCAATGATGGTTTTTGTATCCTGGTTGCTCTAATATATGAAATGATTCTTATAAGTAGTAGCAGTATAAATAGTAGGATTAGGAACAAGGAGGAACTGCTGGTGATGATTGAATTCAAGTGGAGATTCCTGGATGGGGTTGTACCTAGGGAGGGGGGTAGTTAAGATAGTCACCTTGCTACGATAGTCAGCAAGTGGGGGTGTTGAGATAGTTACCTTGCTACGATAGTCATCAGTTGGGGGTGTTAAGATAGTTACCTACTACGATAGTCAGCAAGTGGGGGTGTTGAGATAGTTACCTTGCTACGATAGTCATCAGGTGGGGGTGTTAAGATAGTTACCTTACTACGATAGTCAGCAAGTGGGGGTGTTGAGATAGTTACCTTACTACGATAGTCAGCAAGTGGGGGTGTTGAGATAGTTACCTTGCTACGATAGTCATCAGGTGGGGGTGTTAAGATAGTTACCTTGCTACGATAGTCATCAGGTGTGGGTGTTAAGATAGTCACCTTGCTACGATAGTCAGCAGGTGGGGGTGTTAAGATAGTCACCTTGCTACGATAGTCAGCAGGTGGGCCAGGTGTAGATCCTCCCCTGCTACGAACGCTCCCCGTAGACTGCAGTACAGCAGCGTCACTTGAAGACACACTGTTATCTTCCTCCTTCTCTCCCCTGAGAACCCCAGTTCGACCCCCAGGGACTCGACCCCGCAGACTGGAGGTGGTGTTGGTCACCCCACCGCTGGTCTTGTCCCTGCTGGCCACACCCTGAAGGCGACGCAGCAGGTTCGACGACTGCCTCACGGGACCTGAAGCCAGGTCACGGTTGGAGCAGGTCACTGGGTCAGGTTCCACTCTTGCCGGGGGGTCGAAAGTGGCGAAACAGTCCAGTACCAGCTGTTCCTGTAACCTAGGAGGAGTCACAGGGGATCAGTCACACAGAATTCAACACTGGCGAAAAAATATAATTAGAAAAAGTTATGACCTGTGGCTAAAACTTTATGATAAGTGGCTAAAGCTATGATAAGAGTGGCTAAAACTTTATGATAAGTGGCTAAAGCTGTGATAAGAGTGGCTAAAACTTTATGATAAGTGGCTAAAGCTATGATAAGAGTGGCTAAAACTTTATGATAAGTGGTTAAAGCTATGATAAGAGTGGCTAAAACTTTATGATAAGTGGCTAAAGCTGTGATAAGAGTGGCTAAAACTTTATGATAAGTGGCTAAAGCTATGATAAGAGTGGCTAAAACTTTACAATGACAAAAGTGACTATGTTTCGCTCCATGTAGAGCTTTATCGAAATAAAACTCCACTCAGAGCGAAAGGCAGATGTTTTTCTACCTTGCTACATTCAACAGAGCTTTATAAAGCTCACCTAACGAGCGCTGGCTGAAGATCAAGAGCTCTGTTGCCGACGCTGTTGGCACGAGATATTGGAGCTCCGTACTCGAGGAGATCGAGGACGCTCTCCCAGGCTATGTTCATCTGGCAGGCCGCAATGTGGAGCGGCGTGTTACCCATGGCGTCGGTAACAGCGGGAGCTGCTCCGTACTTCAGAAGGAGGTAGGTGATGGCTGAGTTCCCTCTAGCAGCCGCCAGGAACAACACAGGAAGGGTGTATAGGTAGTCGCGAGTGTAGAGGTCGGCGAACGTAAGTCTCGCTCCTTCCGTGCTGGTGTAGGTGACCAGGCGTTCGCGGGGAACGTCCGGATTGAGAACAAGAAATCTGGAGGAAGGGTCACTGGTACCACCACTGGTGTGGGTAGATGGCCCTCTGGTGGTACTGGAGCCTCGCCCGGAGCCGCTAGTAGTGGCGGAGTGCGCAGGGTGAGCTTCCCACGTACAAGGATGTACATCGGAGAAGGTAAAGTAGCGTGGCTCCGAGCGATCTCTCTCCCCGCGAGGCTCAGTGAGGCGCGTGGTGCTGTTCTCAGTGGAGATGACAGGTCTGGGAACTACCAGCCATGATGCTGAGCCAGGCATGGATAACCTCACCTGCTACACACACACACACACACACCACAGGAAGGAACAACAAATTAGTGGACTCAAATTAAGTTGTAATGAAAAACTGTCAGTGTATAAATAGAATGGTGGACGGAGAGACGAACCGAGGTCTGCAGATTGAGAGTCCGTCGCGCTACCGAGCAGTAGAGTATCAGACTGTCAATCTGCAGGCCGCAGTTCGTCTCCCTGTCCACTTTAAGGCGCTTTGTATTACAAAGTCTCGTTTTACAGCACTTCACTACTGCAATGGTTTTCACCTATATCCAGTCTTCATTCCTATCATAATTATATTTACCACTCACTATAAATAAGGTCGAAAATTTTTTTAAAAAATGGGGAAACCAAACCAAAACCCCGCCGGGGATTAAACCCCCGGGGTCAGAGAGCCCAAAAACCCCCCTCCGTAGCCCTAGCCCACTAGCCACAAAAAGATTAATCCAACTGGGTATTTTTCTACACTTGGAAGGAGCAAGGCATCCTGTGACCAAAAATGAAATTTTTTTACAGACAATCCCCACAGCTGGCCGGACAACTCTACCAAAATCCCCCACTGCCGCAACAGCCCAAACGAAATCGTAATGAAAACGATTACAAACAAACCATCCACGGCCGAACTTTTTTGCAATCGTGCCCATTACTTTTCGTGATAAAGTAAGTGTGAACTGTAAATACATTTTCTGGGTCTCGCTTTATTGCAACTTAATAAAAATTTAGTGAAACATTTATAATTTTTTTCAAATGTATTTAAAAACTGAAAAAGGCTATGGTTCACTTTAAAATCGTTTTTCGTTTTACGCAGTACCCCGGGGAACCTAACCGCTGTACAAGCAGGGCCCCCTGTACAGGGGACCGGAACCTAACCTCTTACAAGCGGGGGCCCCTCCTTTTCAGGGGTAGCCTGAACCTAACCTCTGAACAAGCGGGGCCCTCCTTACACATACCTCGAACCAAACCCTTTTCCAAAACAGGCCCTCCTGTACAGCATAGCCCGAACCAACCTCTTCAAGCAGGACCCTCCTGACAGCATACCTCGAACCAACCTGCTGCACAAGCGGGGCCCCCTTACAGCATACCGGGAACCTAACCGCTGAAGCAACCCTCCGAACACAGTACCCGAACCAAAAACCTGCTTACAAGCAGACCCTCCGTACAGAGTACCCGAACCTAACCGCTGCACAAGCGGGGCCCTCCTGTCAGCAGTACCGGGAACCTAACCGCTGTACAACGGCCCCCCTGTACAGCAGTAGCCGGGAACCTAACCCTGTACAAGCGGGGCCCCCTGTACAGCTAGCCCGGAAACCCAACCTGCTGTACAAGCGGGGCCCTCCTTACAGCATAGCCGGAAACCTAACCGCTGTACAAGCAGGGCCCTCCTGTACCCCGTAGCCTGGAACCAAACCGTTTAAAAGCGGGGCCCTCCGTACAGCAAGCCGGGAACCTAACCTCTGTACAAGCGGGGCCCCTGTACCGGTAGCCTGGAACCTAACCCCGGTACAAGCGGGGGCCCTCCTTACGCAAGCCTGGAAACCCAACCTCTGTAAAGCGGGGCCCCTCCTGACAGCATGCCTGGAACCAACCGCTGTACAACGGGGCCCCCCGTACAGCATACCCTGGAACCTAACCTCTGTACAACAGGACCCCCTGTACGCATACCCGGGAACCTAACCTGTTTGTACAACAGGGCCCTCCTGTAGAGCATACCTGGAACCAAACCTGCTGTAAAAAGCGGGGCCCTCCTGTACGCAACCGGAACCTACCTGCTGTACAAGCGGGCCCCTCCTGTACAGCATAGCCGGGAAAACCAAAAACCGCTACAAGCGGGGCCCCTCCTGTACAGCGGTAGCCTGGAACCTAACTGCTGTAAAACAGGACCCTCCTTACAATACCGGAACCTAACCTGCTGTACAAGCAGGACCCTCCTGTACAGCATACCTGAACCTAACCTGCTGTCAAGCGGGCCCCTCCTGTACCGAGCCGGAACCAAACCTCGTAAAACAGGGCCCCCCTTTAAAACAGCAGTAGCCGGGAACCTAACCTGCGTAAAAGCAGGCCCCCTGAAACAGCAGTACCGGAAACCCTAACCTGCTGTACAAGCAGGGCCCCCTGACAGGGGTAGCCTGGAACCTAACCTGCTGTACAAGCAGGGGCCCCCTGTACACATAGCCGGGAACCTAACCTCTGTACAAGCGGGACCCTCCTGACACTACCGGGGAACCAAACCCTCTGACAACAGGCCCCCCCGTACACAGTAGCCGGGAACCTAACCTCTGTAAAAGCGGGGCCCTCCTTACAGCATAGCCTGGAACCTAACCTGCTGTACAAGCGGGGCCCTCCTTACGCAGTAGCCTGGAACCAAACCCTGCTGTACAAGCAGGGCCCTCCTTAAGCAGACCTGGAACCAAACCCGCTGTAAAAGCGGCCCCTTCAGCAGAGCCGGAACCCCTAACCTCTGACAAGCAGGGCCCCCTTTTCCAGTAGCCTGGAACCTAACCTTGTACAAGACCCTCCTGTACCATACCGGAACCCTAACCTGCTGTACAAGCGGGCCCTCCGTACACAGTGCCGGGGAACCCCAAACCGCTGTACAAGCAGGCCCCCTGTACGCATAGCCTGGAACCTAACCTGCTGTACAAGCAGGCCCCCGAAGCAGTAGGGGAACCAACCTGCGTAAAAGCGGGGCACTCCTACAGCATACCCCTGGAACCTAACCTGCTGTAAAAGCAGGGCCCTCCTGACAGCAGTACCGGGAACCCTAACTGCTTACAAGCGGGGGCACCCATACACATCCGGGAAAACCTAACCTGCGACAAGCGCCCCCTTACACAGACCGGAACCTAACCTGCTTACAACAGGGCCCTCCGTACACAGTCCCCTGGAACCTAACCTGCTTACAAGCAGGCCTCCGTACAGCAGTACCGGGAACCTAACCTGCGTAAAGCGGGGCCTCCTTACACAGACCTGAACCCTAACCTGCGAAAAAGCGGGGCCCTCCGACAGCAGTACCTGGAACCAAACCTGCTGTACAAGCGGGGCCTCCTGTACAGCATAGCCGGGAACCTAACCTCTGACAAGCGGGCCCTCCTGTACAGATAGCCTGGAACCTAACCGCTGAAAAGCAGGCCCTCCTTAACAGCAGTAGCCGGGAACCAAACCCGCTGACAACGGGGCCCCCTGACACAGTACCCGGAACCAAAACCTGCTTTACAAGCAGGCCCCCTCCTGTACAGCGAGCCGGGAACCTAACCGCGTACAAGCGGGGCCCTCCTGTACGCAGTACCGGAACCAACCTGCTGTACAACGGGGCCCCCTTCAGCAGTAGCCGGAACCTAACCTGCGCAAAAGCGGGACCCCCCGTACACAGTACCTGGAACCTAAATGCTGTCAAGCAGGGCCCTCCTGTACAGCAGACCGGGAAACCAAACCTGCTCACAACGGGGCCCTCCTGTACAGCATACCTGGAACCTAACCTGCTGTACAAGCGGGGCCCTCCGTACACAGTACCGGGAAACCAAACCGCGTAAAAGCAGGCCCTCCTGAACAGCAGTACCTGGAACAAACCCTGCTGTACAACAGGGCCCCCTGTACAGCAAGCCGGAAAACCTAACATGCGTACAAGCAGGCCCCCCTGTACAAAAAAAACCTGGAACCAAACCTGCGTACAAGAAACCCTCCTGTACGCAGTACCAAACCCAAACCCTGCTGACAAGCGTCCCCCCCAACATACCGGGAAACCTAACCTGCTTACAAGCGGGGCACCCTGACAGCATAGCCGGGAACCTAACCGCTCACAAGCAGGACCTCCTGTACAGCATAGCCTGGAAAAAAAACACGTACAAACAGGGCCCTCCGTACCATAGCCTGGAACCAAACCTGCTGCCAAGCGGGGCCCTCCTGTACACATCCCCTGGAACCAAACCCTGCGTACAACGGGGCCCCCCTGTACACAGTAGCCTGGAACCAAACCCTGCGTACAGCAGGCCCCCTTACAGCAGTACCGGGGAACCAAACCTGCTGTACAAGCGGGCCCTCCTGTAAGCAGTAGCCGGGAACCTAACCTCTGTAAAAGCGGGGCCCCCCGTACAGCATACCCCGGAACCAAACCCTCGTACAAGCAAGGCCCTCCGAAAAGCATAGCCCAAAACCTAACCTCTGTACAAGCAGGTCCCCCTGTACAGCATACCGGGAACCTAACCGCTGTCAAGCGGGGCCTCCTTACAGCAGTACCGGAACCTAACCGCGTACAAGCAGGACCCTCCGTACAGCAGTAGCCGGAACCAACCTGCTGTACAAGGGGGCCCTCCTGTCAGCAGTACCTGAACCAAACCCTGACAAGCGGGGCCCCCCTGTACACAAGCCTGGAAACCAAACCCGCGTACAAGCAGGCCTCCTTACACAGTAGCCGGGAACCAAACCCTGCTGTACAAGCGGGGCCCCCTGTACAGCAAAAACCCCGGGAACCAACCTGCGAAACAAGCGGGGCCCTCCTGTAAGCAGTACCCGGAACCCAAACCTGCTTAAAAGCAAGCCCCCTGTACAGCAGTAACCCGGGCCAACCGCTGTAAAAAGCAGGCCCCCGTAAGCAGACCCAAACCAACCTGCTGACAACAGGGACCCCCCAAAGCATCCCCGGAACCTAACCCTGTACAAGCAGGCCCTCCTGTACACAGTACCCCGGGAAACCCCAAACCCGCTGTAAAGCGGGGCCCCCTGTACAGCATAGCCGGGGAACCAAACCTTTTCAAGCAGGCCCTCCTGAACAAAAAAAGCCTGGAACCAAACCTCGTACAACAGGCCCTCCTGTACGCAGTCCGGAACCAACCTGTTTACAAGCGGGGGCCCTCCTGTACCAACCTTTAACCAACCCTGTACAAGCAAGGCCCCCCTGTACAGCGTATCCCGAACCAAACCCCTGCTGTACAAGCGGGTCCCCCCTGTACAGCATAGCCGGAACCTAACCGCTGTACAAGCAGGGCACTCCTGTACGCATA